GGGGGGGGGGGGGTTGTTATTCTTGCATCTGTTTTTGTGTAAAAGGGAGAATATTTTCATTAAGAACAGAATATCTTCGAAATGTGTGCGAAATTGTACAGGCTTAACGCCCCCTTCAACATTGTAAGGCTACTTAAGAGTCGATCAGAATCTTCGATTTTAACGTCCATCGCCGATAGGACCAATTAACCCAGACGAGTGGAGAGCATTAAAGGCTCCCCAAAACAACCCAAGTTCAGAACGCCTCGATCGTTGGGGATTCGAACCAGAGCCATATCGCTACGTAATCCTGCATGATACAAACTGATCCAAAGATGCGCCATAATACCTTCGATAAGTCTATGTTATCAACTACTCGTTTCTCTGCCTTTATACTGGGATTGTACGCTTGGGTTGGACCTGGCAGTAGACCGGATCAAAGCCACCCGTTTTATATTATGATCTAAATTGACCCCCCCCCCCCCAGGGTAGTGCTACTGACAGAAGTGTCTTTAGGCCATTCCCAAAGAGGAACATGTTCTTATGCACTGTAGAATTGTAAATGGGTTGATTTATCAATGTCATGCTCATACTGTGCCGGAACATCTATGGGGGAACTGCTGCCTTTTCTTTTCTTATCCTTGCTATCGTCATTCTCCCTCTACTTCATTTGTATGTTTGTCATTCTCTTGTGAATTGCTATTTCCGGGGTGCGCTGGTAGTCGAAGCAGACTTTGTGCAGTCGAGGCAAGAGAGGTGACCAGAGTAAGCATGATTCTCCGTTTGGACTTCTCTGTTGACACCCACCCCTTGGCGCTCATATGACCTTATGCAGTTGTGAGCGCCGTAAAACCTTACTCAAACAAATTATCTAAATTGTGTCTTCGTGAGCGTAAAATTTGCACAATAAACCACCTCTAATTAGCAAAAACTTGGCAGAACAATTTCAGACAGAACAGAAAGAAAAGACTCAGAACAATTCTTCAGAAATACATGTAATAATTTTTAAAAAATCAGATTCCGACCTACAAAATTTCTAGCCTGCAGTACGGTAACTGTGTGTTTATCTCTCCAGAGCTTACCTATTGCTTTCATCAACAGCAGACACGCCAAAGACAGAGAATCCATTCAC